TGTACAAATTATTGCAAATTAAACAAAAACAATGCAAATAACGAGTCTGTCATTTAACCCTTTGGTGCCTGCCTTCAAGTACTCCAAACTAAATGACAATGTAGGTCATTTTAAACAACCTCCAAATATGACTTACATGAGGGTATCCTAAAATAGTGCCCCTACCGGTGGCATTTGTCCATTTGGCAATGTCCAGAATGGACCTACATTCATGTGAAATCACGTGACCTATGCTAAATGATATAAACACGTTGAGAATGCAGCGATACAAAGAAGGGCGATCTGCACAGCTATTGGGTTCACCAGTCAACATGCATACCATCCTGACTTAGGTTTAGGGACACACCCCTGTGAAGGTTAGGGTTAGGGTAAGGGGCTACGGGGGGCTGTCAACACCTTTAAGGCTATTGTAGTTAGCTAGCTAGTTAACCTCAATGCTACGAAGCTAACATAGCGAACGCTACTTAACATAATTTTAAAATAAATCAGTCTTGTTTAACAAGGGAACCGAGAGGCAGCTAACTTCCTTCCACCCACCACACCAGACTTTCTGGCTATTTTTAATATGTAACACTCTTTCTCATGTGTCTCTGCTGTACAGCCACTAGAGGTTGCTGCCACAATAAAGGTAAACCTAAGTGGTAATTTTGTGTGGCTAAAACGGACTATATGGTCATTTTTCTGATGAGGGCAGGTTCGTGCCTGCATGTCTTTTCTGCACTTGAACAGCTCCTCTGCTTATACACTGCTGCTCTGTTTGGGGAAATGTATTTAAAAAACACCCATATCTAATATCAATGTGTGGTTGCTTTTCTGTTCACTACAAGTAGGTTGTGTTGTAGAAAGAACACATGTCTCGTTTCATGTAAAACCTAAAACCTCAGTGTGATTTCTCTTTAGTTTTGACCTCACTGCTGAGCTGCACAACAAACCAAGGTGAGAAACTTGAAAAGTTATTCACTCCCTGATAGAACAGTTTGTATTTAGGACAGTGTTTGGGGAGGGAAACAGACACTTTACAATATTTAATGAATGTGGAGAAAATTATTGCAAATGATCTCTCTAACCACATCTTTCTGTCTCTTCCTCCAGCCTCTCTGACTGTGAGTCCCAGCAGCTCTCAGCTGTTTAAAGATCAGTTTGTCTCTCTGAGCTGTGAGGAGGACGACAGCTCTGCTGGATGGACGCTGAGGAGGAACACTACCAGAGAAACCAGGACTCAGTGTGATGACTGGGGAAGATCAGCTGGTTCTTCCTGTAACATCAGTTATATCACCATATGGGACAGTGGAGTTTACTGGTGTGAGTCCAGAGAGGGAGCAACCAGTAACACCATCAACATCACTGTCACTGGTAAGATCAGACTGTGGTTCTCCTTGGATTAATTAATGAGGGGTTACCAGCTCAATAACAGAGGGCCTCTGAACACTGGGCAGACGCTTTTATCCAAAGCGACTTACATTATCATCATTTTAAAAAAACAACATAAAAGCATCAACAAAGCATCAATACAGCACAAGATTTACATACTAGAAAGAGCAGCAATAACTACTAGTAAGAGCTAATAGCACATATGGCTATCAATGGGGTAAATACCTAAGGAAAGAAGTTAGATTTAACAAAAAAGTACAATCATTACAAAAGAATTGTACGGGGATAGAAGAAGAAGAGCACAGGAAGTGCAAGTTAGAGGTTAGGGGTTAGAGGTGTTATAAGAGAAAGTGTTCTTGGAGAAGATGGGTTTTCAAGAGCTTCTTGAAGTTAGAGAGAGACGACCATGCTCTGATGGCATGTGGTAGCTCGTTCCACTATCATGGTGTCACAAGAGGAAGAAAGCAAATAAGATGTATGGTTGTACTTCAGGAAGCTAACCAATGCTGGATGGAGACCTGAGAGCAGCCAATGGATGAGCTTTGAGGGGCCTTAAAATCCTGTATCTGTACACTACCGTTCAGAAGTTTGGGGTAACTTAGAAAATTCCTTGTTTTCACAAGACAAACTTCTACAGAGGTCAATTATCAATAACCTTCAGCCCTGTGCTCTAATGAAATGTTGTGTTTGCTAGTCCAAGTTTATAATTTTGAAACGCTAATTGATCATTAGAAAACTATTTTACAATCATTGTTGCACAGCTTAAAAACATTTTTTCTGATTAAAGGAGCAATAAAACTGGTCTTCTGTAGAACTTGTGAGTTTCTGGAGGGTGTGGGTTCTATTACAGGCTCAAAATGTCCAGAAACAAAGAACTTTCTTCTGAAACTCGTCGGCCTGTTCTTGTTCTGAGAAATGAAAGCTTTCCCTGTGAGAAAATACCAAGAAACTTGAGATATTGTACAATGCTGCGTGCTACTCCCTTCACAGAACAGTGTAAACTGGCTCTAAGCAGAACAGAAAGAGGAGTGAGAGGCCCCGGTGTACAACTGAGAAAGTGAACAAGTACATTAGAAGGTCTAGTCTGAGAAACAGATGCCTCCCAGCTACTCAACTGGCAGCGTCATTAAATAGTACCCGGAAACACCAGTCTCAACGTCAACAGTGAAGCAACGACTGCAGGATGCTGAGCTTCTAGGCAGAGCTGCAGAGAAAAAGCCACGAAAACAAAATATTTAGCCCTAATCTTTTCTTTTTATCGGCCAGTGTAAGATATGGCCTAGATATTCCATTACAAATCAGCTGTTTGCAGCAACAACAGTTATTTACAATATTAACAGTGTCTACAATGTCTTTCTGATTAATTTGATGTAATTTTAATGGACAAACACAACAAGTTTTCTAAGTGACCCCAACATTTTGAATGGTAATGTATGTTTTAACCCACCAAATAACTCTCTGCATGTATGTTTATTTAGGTCATATGAATAGAAATCTTTCCAAATATTCATCAAATATTTAGTTTTGATGTGTTTACTGAGTCAAGGACAGGACAGAGTGACTGGAGGCTCAGAAAAGGAAGAGAACTAAAGCTGAAACCAACACATTGGTGGCAGGAAAGCAGACAGTTTTAGTCTGCAACTCCTCCGGTTTCACCCCGACCTCCTCATGTGCTAAGGTTTTGGTATGGCTGGTTTCACTAAGTTTAAATGTTCATGTAATGTATATTTTTATTAGTTCTGCACCATCTTCAATCTTGTTGTCAAATCAAGATGTTATTTTTGCTCCTTATTTGTCTCTTTAAGTGGAGCTTCCATCATTACTTTAGCAAAGGCAAAGACTTATTCTTGACAAATCTGTCAAAATCTGTGTTAGTGAGCACTTCTCCTTTGCCGAGATAATCCATCCACCTCACAGGTGTGGCATATCAAGATGCTAATCAGACAGCATGGGTTTTGCACAGGTGTACCTTAGACTGGCCACAATAAAAGGCCACTTGAAAATGAGAGAAGTAGGTCTTTTGTGTACATAGAGAAAGTCTTAGATCTTTGAGTTCAGCTCATGATGAATGGGGGCAAAAACAAAAGTGTTGCATTTATAATTTTGTTCAGTGTAATACTAAAAAAAAAAGAGTACATAACTTGCAGAAATATACAGTTATCTTTCTTTCAGCACTTAATTATAATACCCTTAATTAGCCTCACACTCAGTAACAGCAAGAAAAACATTTAAATAAAATGTACAACAGAGGTTCTGGCTTACCAGATCCAGAAGTCCACATAAGCACCACAGATCAGACTGTGGAGTTAATGTTGATGAAGCTGTGTGTAAATGATGAAATGCTGTAGTTTGTCTCTGTGTTGAGATGGACCAGTGATCCTGCAGAGTCCTGTCCTCCCTGTGATGGAGGGACATGATGTCACTCTGCACTGTAAAACAAAGACCCCTCCCTCCAACCTCCCAGCTGGTTTCTATAAAGATGGCTCCCTCATCAGGACTGAGCCTACAGGTCACATGACCATCCACCATGTTAACAAGTCTGATGAAGGCCTCTACAAGTGTAACATCAGCGGTCATGGAGAGTCTCCATCCAGCTGGATCTCTGTCACAGGTGAGGAGGTTACCTTTGATTTCAGGATTAATTTCATCCAGAGATTCATTTGACCAGGTGGATTCTCTCTACAGGTAAACCTACAACCACAGCGCCCCCCACCTCTGCAGCCCCGCCTCCTCCATCGCCATCTGCCTCAGCCCAACTTGTGTTCAGTTTGATCTTCCACCTGGTGGTGTTCTGTCCATACTGCATCTCCACTGTCCTCATGGTGTCTTTATATCGACACAGGGCCACAGGTAACACTCTGAATCATTTACTGACCTTACAATCAATCTGTCAATCAATGATTGACAGTTGTCTCTAACAAATAAATGATCTACATTTTCTTTCTAACCTGCTCTGACTGCAGAGTGCAATGCAGACCTGCCAGTCGCCATGGTGAAGACCCCGTCCATCAAGGCTGAGGAAGGATTGGACGATGACTGTAATGATGTCATCACTGCTGTCACCACAGAACATCACTTCTGAGCTGATCCAGTGTGTTCAGTGTGTTCTGGTTCTTAATGAAGCTAAAATGTTTGAGTCATCAGCAAATAAACCTCAGATTTCCTCCATAGATCACAAACAGCAGAGGACCCAGAACACTTCCCTGTGGAACTCCTCATGTTCTAGTTTGACTTGTAGATGATGTTGAACTCAGACTTCAGCAGCAGCGACAGTCTCACTTTAAACGCTTCTAATCTTATAATGTAAGCAGCTAACGTTAACTCTGTCAGCTTTAGTGAAGCCTGATCACTCAGAGAAAGACTCTTTTATTTCTTTTTACATTATTTTAATAAACCTCATACAATCTACCAAATTTAAGTCTCAGATACATTATAGTTATAGTCATACAGAGGACATGTGTTTTCCATCTTGGGAAATTGAGGATGACCTAAACGGGATATTTGCCGTTGGTAGATAGATTCTTACGTGTCAATATGGAGCTAAACTTTATTTAGTTAATGTGTGAGAAGGCAGATTCATGTGGGTCCAGAAAGGAGATACTTCTCCTGTGACAGCAGCCCCAGGATTCGGCCCTCATGATCTGGTTGTCCTGGATCTCATCTGAACGTCAGTTTGAAAGCTCACAGATTCATTCTCCATGAAAGGTGTCACGGCTGGCTCAAAACCGCAACAAAAAAGAAGAGAACAATAAAACAAACTGCAGGAAAGGTACCATTACTTTTATTTTAAACTAACAGAAACAGCTTAATATTCCAAAAGTCATATGAGGTTTGATAATCAGTAGATCAGTCATGTCAGCAGGTATGCATGCTTGAAGGAATAGTGAGTGAAGTGTTATATGGTGAAAGAAACAAAAAAATAACAAGGAGCGTGGAGCATAGGGAACAGGGTTTCCCTCCTCTCTAGCCCTCAGTGCAGAACAAAAGACACACTCTTATAGTGGAGAACACCGGGCCCAGGTGGATCCAACAACTGATGATTTTAACTACGCCTCCTGCAACACAGGATACAGACATCCCAGCAGCCGAAAGATGGGGACGTCACAAAGGAAAAAAGCAGGAAGTGACAACAGCTTCAAACTGCATTTTAAAAGGTTATGGTCAGAGATTTTTTAGATTGAGCTGCAGCGTTGGACATAGTAAAAGTCATCTAAGAAGAGTATCAGTCATCACGGTCACAGGATTTCCAGATGCATTAACTCAAAGTAACCTTCTTCTCTGTGTGTGTTGCTTTCTTGTTCCCACCAACAGAAAGGTCTGTTGGAACATGTAAAGAGCAATCCTGAATTGCTGAATCCCAATATTCACACTCACGGGTTTGAGTCTGTTAAGGTGTATGGCTGTTCCACTGTTAAATTGTCAAGTGCATGGGTGCTTTTTGAGGCCTTAATGCAGACTTTCCGGAAGTCGGCTGTCATTGTGTTATGACTTTAAACATGCTGTTACCCCTGGAAGCCAGTGTTGAAAAAAAGGTAAACAAACATGACAGGAGCAACTACAAGAGGAAAAAAGTACATATGCTATTTAAACAACGTGGGCGCTTAGCGTGAAAATGACTTTGACTAGCAATTACACTTGCACTGTGCTTTGCGCTGGGTGCAAGATAAGGCCCATAGATTGCTAAATTGAGCAAGTTGGTGATGGCGGAGAGCAACAATCATGTAAAAAGCTGCATACTTCCCATGCGCTGAGAGAGCCCGTGTTGTCATGATGGAGAACCCAAATGCCAGTGCGCCACAGTTGAGGTCCTCCCCAGGTTCAGACCATCTGAGTTCGACAAAACTTCTATCTGTGAGTTTTCGTCAATGGTTGTGTCCGTGGCATGGCGTCGAAGATCAATGATTCACCATGATACAGGAAGTTGTTCTAACTTTAGCGTACATGCTCAGATCTGTACTGAAATGTTTGATAATAGTGTCGCCCTGAAGACATTCATATGCTAACATTCAGTCAAAGTCAAAGCGCTACCAACTGGCAACAGAAAGTGTCATGTTTTACGCTGTAATGTACTAATCCTAGCATGTTGGATTAAAACACTCTCAGAAGACGTTAAGGATGGTGCGAAGTCTGATGCTTCGCCATGAAACAGGAAGTTGTTGTAACTCCACTGTAAATGCTCATATCTGGACTAAATCTGCTTGCAGCTTTAATAATGTAATTATTTTTGGGACTTTCTACAGACCTGCTGGTCTTGAGGACCTTTTAACCTCAAAGACCATGTTCTACAGCCATCCCAGCATGCAGGTTTGACTCTGAACTAAGGGTGAGTGATGAAGGTGCAGTGATGATGATGGAGCACAGGTGATGCTTTGACTGGGTGTTAAATTAACTGAAGGGTGAACAAACCAAATATCTTCTATTTATTGCCACAGCATCATGTATTATTTTTCCGTTTATGTGTGAAATTATATAAATATACAAAGTAAATACATGATGTCTATAACTAGGTTACAAATAAACCATAAACATTAAATACCAAATGAAATGAACAGCATTAAATACACCTGTATCAATAAACTGAATTTAAAACAGTTAACAAAGACACAAACCAGGAATACATTTAAATACACTCATGCTGCCATCTACGAGTGGAGAGGGGAAACACCAGCTTAATCTGCTTTCACTCTGTGTTAAGAATAACATACAAATATCCTCTGAAAGTCTGATACAGCAGAGAACAGTAATGTTAGTTTATGTGTAGCTGCAGTGAATCTCTATCTAGTCATGCTAACCCCACTGTGACCCATCCACCATTGTGTCCCTGAGCAAGACACTTAACCCCAAGTTGCTCCAGAGGCGTGCGACCTCTGACATATAGCAATTGTAAGTCGCTTTGGATAAAAGCGTCAGCTAAATGAGTAAATGTAATGTAATGTAACCCAGCTGAGCAGTGCATGTCTTGAATGTGCCTGATGCAGCTGATAAACTTCTGTCTTTTAGGCCCCCAGTCCTAACAGACTTTATGAAGACTGAGTTAGTGCGCCGAGGTCCATTGAAACCAGCATTGGATTTATTAAGAGAGAGACAGAGTCAGACTGTTTTAAAGGAGGGAGGATTGTAGTGAGAGTACTGCAGTGTCAAGTGTGACTGTGCAGCAAAGTGTTTACATGGCTCACGATTCAGGAAGGAGGGCCTGGTAGAAGGATTTTGCTTAGGGCCCCAGGGGGATCAGAACCGTCTCTGCTCTCGCGCTTTGAATGCAGACAGTTTGTGACTGAGTGGTAACATAACTGGTTGAGATTTTCAATGTAAAGCACCCAAAAACTGAAGCCATCCTTGCTCTGTTTGGGACTGTGAGCTGCTCTTTATCAGTGGTGAAGTTAACATCACAAGTGTTCAATTATCATCCTAACATACAGTCCCAAATGGGGTTCTGTGTCTTTCAGATGGTCTGGAAGGGATACTACCACAGAAGCAGAGCAACAACGCAGGCTAATCCTCCACACAGTGTAGGAAATATGCACTTGTCCTCTTGCTGCTCACTTTTCCTTATAGTGATACGCTGTAAGTTACACTGCTGTATTCAAACTGGAGTGAATATTTAAAGGTTTTTGTAAGATCAATAGAGTGAATGTGTAGCTCATTTTGCTTTTGATACTTTTACTTGAGTGGTATTTTACTGGATGACTTTTAGTTGAGTAACATTATAGTAAATTGAGTGCTTTTTCCACCCCTGCCGTGCAGCACACAAGCACAAAGACACAGCTCACCTCCAGATGCAGAGACCAGAGAGAACAGAAGAAAGACACAAGCTACATATCAGCAGAGAGAGAAATGAGAGCAGAGCAGTTCTCTTGGTGATGGTGAGGCTGCCGTTGACCATTGAACACAGACTGATCGAACACGAAGGGCGGGGCTTCAGCTGATGACCCAATCAGACAGGAACTACTTTCCTTCTCCCTGCAGCACAAACCTTCTGACATTAATATTTTATCTGCATCACATATTCAGAATAATTTGTTCATCATCAGACCGAAAAAGCCACACATACTGAAGGCATATGTAACAATTCATACTTTAATATGAACATTATACATAAAGTAACAACAATTAATTCACTACTGTAAACAGGCTACAGAGAACTTGACACCTCCTGATGACTGTCCAGTGGCTGCAGTGACAAGAAGCAGCCAGCAGGTGGCACCACATCAGCACAGAGAGAGAGAGAGAGAAAGAGAGAGAGAGAGCGAGAGAGAGACGTGCAGAAAGAAGAGAGGACACATAATAATCTGTTTTTCTCAAAGTAAACGAATTGAGAAATTAAATCAACATCATCATGGACTTCCTGCACAGAGCTGCAGTGTTTCTCAGATTAATACATTCAAACTCAATGTTTCTCAGCTCCACATATTTCATGTTACCACACAGTTCTTGTGTTAAGTCTATGTGGTATCTGCTTTTTTAATTTTCTAAGAAACACATTTACTTCCGCTTTCACTAAATCTAAAAGATTTTTGTGCTCATTCACAGCACTGAATGTAAATATAAGCCTGGTTTTAATCTGCAGATGTAAAATCTTAAGTGATGTCTGT